GTTAGAGCCAACAATGAGGAAGAAAGGATTTTGGAAATTCAAGATTTTTTTAAATATTGCCTTATAAAATTAAGAACTTAAAATTTATATACCATTAAAATATGGATTAGTAGCAACATTCATATGCTATACTTAAGCTTTTATTGTGAGTACAGATGAAGATTAAAAGCTTAGATAGTGAGTTATCGGAGAATTGGATGTTATTTTGGATGTCAGCTGCAAAATCACAACAAATTCAGCTTCAGGTTTATGTATGCATATCATTATGACAATACAAAATGACTCCAAATCTGTTAAAGGTCTGGTAAATAATTTTTTAAATTAGATTTGCAGCACAAAATAAACAGTTCCTGAACAATCACAACATAAACCCATGTTATAATTTCAGTTTTATTACTCGTGTTTTTTGTTTTGTTTGTTCTGAGGAGAGCAATTTGTTCTCCTTGGTAGTTTAGTGAAAGCAATTTATAGCTCCCCCTATATTTATTAAAATAAAGGACAGAGAAAAATCTCATGATAAAGTGCCTCACTATCCTTTGTTACTTAAAAACATGGCATGGAAACAAACAATATAGTAAATTAAGAATCTTTAAATATGCACTACTAGTAATGAAAATAAGCCATTAAAAATGTTATTTTTTTAAAATCTTTTACTTATCTTACAATGTACAAAACCTTGTAATTTTATATTGGACCATAAATTCCAAGTAATATGAATTTTGTCTTTTTTACTACTAATTATTTTAATAAACGGCCCTTATGGACTTGGAAAACAAAACTAATTAATGAGCTAAAGTTTGAATTCTATAAATAATACTATTTTAACAGAATAACATCTCAGCATACGAAATCCATGTACATTTATGTTCTAACATGAATGCTTAACAAATACTTACCATTAATCTTGGTTCTTGGAAAACTGGTGAAGAATGTTGTAGCTCATCAGAAGCATTCTGATTATCCTCAGCCTAAAAAAAAAAAACCCATAGATTTGTACAAATATAAATAGGAACATTACGGGAACTATTATCTAAAACGTTTTATCAACTCAATAAGCTCTAAATGTAGCCTGTACAGGTAATATGGTAATAAATTATATATAGACTTGTGGATTGTCTTGATACTATTTGTAGAAGGTTTTCTTTATGAAAGAGCAAAGGAAGGAATAATAATAACAGATGGTCAATTATATTTATTATTGATGGAAATTATTATTTAATTATTATTAAATTTATTATTATAGGAATACATATAATAGCTTAGCAATGGCTGTTCCTTTGTTCTTCTTATATTTAATTCAGTGATGTTTATTCCATCTTTACAACATATCCTAAAAACAAAGCCTTTCATAACTTGCCAAATTATTGGACAAAGTGTAGTTGAGAAATATCCTTTCCATACATTTTGAATGCAGAAACATTTTTATGTTTAAAAATAAAAACACAATATTAGAATTTTTAATCAAATTTCCCCATTTATAAAACTATGTATTTAACTGTATAATATGAAACCCCATGTACCAAAATGACATCATAACTTCAAGTTCAATAACAACACCATAAGCCTCTGTGAGTATCTTATCTTTTGCTTTTCTGCTTCCTTTTTAAGTTCCTACCAAACTTAAACACATTTACTTTTTAATAAAATTAAAGGTTCTTAATTATACGCATACACAAAATAACAGTGTGCAAGTTAGCATCTTGGGTTACTCAAACAGAATCCTTAAGGCTTTTCTTATTCCTTACAAATTATCTTCCATAATCATGTTCATCACTGTTCTGTAAACTTCTTCCCATTCTGTTACTCATCTTTCTCTCTCTCTCTCCTTCTTACTGCTTAATAAAATACTGCCCTTTTTAAACATGGCTTCCAGGAATTTCCTGAAACCTATCTTCAATCTTTCTAAAAAATTATCTAAATTGTAAATATGAGACTACAATGGTTTGTTGTTAAATTAGTGTTACTAAAAAACAAAAATGTATTTCTTGTTTTGAAAGCTTGATAGTGATGGGAATGTTTAACAGTTTCAAAAACTCCATTCTCATTACACAGAAATTGAATAGGTCTTCCTCTGGGATATGGTTTTCCTTCGATTGCAGACACTTTTAGTTAATTTCTTGGTTTAGAGTTTATTTCCTAAAAAAATCACTAGTTCTGTTCAACATAAGCTGTAAATACAAGTTAGAGACATGAGAATGTCAGCCACAGTGGCTAAGATACAGAAAAGAGACTGTCCTTTCTACTAATTTAATGGAATTAAATACTTAGATTGCAAAACAAGAGTGATATCTCACAATGCCCATTACTTATTCTAAATAAATCCAATTATGTAAGGGCATTCTGTTCATCAATATAACCTTTGAAAATTTTACTATGGCCACAAAGAATCAAATGCTGAATCAAATTCTTCATTATTTGGTTTCTCTCTTTGTTAAATTATGTAGCAAAACATTGTATCATAAACAAAAGCCACTACAGGTGCACTAAAAGGAAAATTTGCCTTACCAACCTGTTCGTTATTTTCCAAACATATTACTTATCTGGATGATTGAAAGGGTATGGATTTGGTGTACTTAAAAGTCTTTTGATGGTGTCACACAGACTGTTAGCTAAGAAAACCTTTGTGTTTTTCATATTTACGTTACTGATATTGATGGGTATATAGTTAATAAATTAGTCAGTATGCTGATGTTATTAAATTCTTGTGTATTTCTAGCTGTATAAATGATGATAAGGTACTAAAGAATGACTTGTATCAACAGATAAGTTGGGCAAATATTTAGCAAATAACCTTTAATCATAGTAAGTGCAAGGTAACACATCTGTGTCCCCATAATTTGGATCACACAATACAGTGAATGTGACTAATAAAAAATAATCTTGACATTGTGATGAAAAAAACATCCAAACCATTGAGGCAGTGTTCTTATACCACAAGCTAAGCATATAGAATTTTAGGGTTTGTTCACAGATCTACTGATTACAAGTCAAAGACCACAATTATCTCTTGATACAAATCACTAGTTAGTACTCATTGGGAATATTGTGTAGTTTTAGTCTCCTTATCTAAAAAAGGACATTGACTTATTGGAAGTAGTTCAATGGAGGGATACTAGGATCATTCTAGGAATGGAAAAATTATCTTTTGTGGATAGGCCAAGATATCTTTAAGTTACAGTATTTTCTCTTCAGAAAAGAAGTGAAAAATGTGATCTTACTGAAGCTTGCAAAATTATCTGGGCCACTGAGAGAATAAAGGATACCAATTTCTTTGTTCTATATTCTGAAGACAATAGAGTGAGGACACACACTTAAAACTAGGAAAAAGACAGGCTAGGTTCCAGTTAAGACCATTTTATTTGTCTAAACAGCTGACTGGCTCATGGAATGATTTACCATTGGCAATAGTGAAGGCTGGCACTTTACAAGAGTTTAAGAGGAAAATTGATAATTTCTTGAGAAATAAGGGTGTGTTTGAGTTTTCTCAATGGTGATGTGCAGGGACGACCTTAACACTAGAACCACCAGGGTTTCACAAATACCTAGACTCTCCATACTGCCATCATCTTGACTGCTACATATTACAACAGCACACATATTATTGGATACAACTCAAAAGTTTTATTAACATCAAATCAAGTGTAATTACAGCCAAGAAAATTGTATCAAAATTAATAATTGTCCAAAAAATACTTCTGTAATTTAAATACTATACTAAAAGAAACAAATTAATAAACATATAAACAGCTATATGTACATAGAAAACTTTAAACACAAACTTGTAGATAAATTATTCTAAACAGTACATATTTGTAAAAAAACTATGAAGAAAACTACTTGACTCCTATTATAAGCTAGGCCTAAATGGCACATCCATGCAGGTGAAATGCTTTTCAACTCTCACTAACATTTACCACACGTCTTTCTCACAAATCTACGTCAAAAAGACAATGAAAAAAAAAAAAAGACAAAAATAATTACACAAACAGGTAAAAAATTAAAAAAAATAATTTTGCAAAACAGAATCAATAACTAAGCCAAGCCAAGCCTAGGCCAATTATTGAAACCATGTAAACCAACTGAGTTAATAATTAAGCTGTTATTAATAGATTTTTCTAATCAATGGCTTCCCCTTATTGGCATTTTATACCATTACGAAAATATAGGACTTTTTTTTTACTTTTTTGTCTGTTTGTGCAATTTTCTTTGTCTTACAGGGTTTATTCATGTATGTGATAATAAAAAAAGTAACATACTTATTTAAGAATTTGTCATGTTATACCATTCATAAAATATAGGACTTATTTTTTTACTTTTTTAACTGTTTGTGTAACTTTCTTTGTCTTTTTTACCACCAGTGCTTTCACACAGGACACATTTATCTGAAGTTCTGTTTTCATTGCATTTAGCTACTTGGCACTGTTTTCTTTTATGTGTTTCACTGAGTTGCTTGAAAAAAAAAAGGGATAGGCAAGTATGCATTTCTTTATTTAACATACTCAAAAATATGGTAGGTAAGTAGGTGGTGTATTGGGCTGATTGGATTTTGTCACAGAATTCTTTGCTCTACTGGTACTTTGGGCATTTTGGTTTAGGCCAACAGTGAAATTCAATTCATTTGACACCGAACATATCCAATGATTGGTCTATCCAAATGTCCACTGAAACTTTGCCCAGATCAACGTGTGTTGGTGTCTGCTCATAATCATTCGATTTTAGTTTAGGATGGTATGACTCAAACATGTTCCAGTAAATTGTGACAGTCTTTTTTAGGAAACATGTGGACATTTGCTAAAGAAGACAGCCAATATTTTAGCCACCATGATGAAATGTTGGACACTGCCTGCAAAAATTGGCTGAGAATGCTGACACACCACACCAACTAATAATTCAGAGACATGGTTTCTTATGATCTTCACCTTTAAGTAGTATTCCACATCTTGAACAGTTGATAGATGGAAACAAAATCAAACAATATGACTGCATTAATTCTGAGCTGGTTAAGAAAAAATTGGGAAGTTTAAAGAATGATGTCTGTTGGGCCAGATAATATTTCCCCAAGAGTTTTTGAAGGAGGTTAAAGATTGGATATATGATCCACTTGCTACTATTTTTGTCAGTCCTTGAATAGTGGGCAGGTACCAAAGATTTGGAAGTTAACTAATGCAACTCCTCTTTTCAAGTGAGGTTATAAAATTGTCCCAGTAATTATAGACCCATTAGTCTCACATAAGTTGTTGGAATAGTTTTGGAAAGTTTGTTAAAAGATGCTTTGCAAAGTCACTTAGCCAAGGGTTTTACAGCATAATCAACATGGTTTCACTAAAGGAAAATTTTGCCTTAAAAATATTTTGACACTCTTTGAAAAGGTTACTGATTATGTAGATGAGGATCAGGGTGTAGATTTGGTGTATCTGGATTTTCAGAAAGCA